GTGTGTGTGTGTGTGTGTGTGTGTGTGTGTGTGTGTGTGGTGGGGAGGACTAACTAACTTCCGGTGTAATTTTCCTAGGCACTGAGCAAAGGGCAGGGCACAATAGTCATTCTGTGTTCATTTCAATTGCCTCGTTATAGTCAGGGTCATTCCTTGTTTGTTTTTTTTCCACAATCCAGTGAAAAGGGTAGGGTGTATTGGGGAAAGGTTAGCCTGACATCATGGCTGGCCTCCCTGGGAAAGGTGGCAGTCAGGGAAGTGGGCGATTGGCAAATGCACAGGCAGGAGATTGACTTGTTTTGTTTTCTGTCTAGCATCCATTTTGGGCCTCAAGACCATCAGATCATCTCCACCTAGAAGAGGAAGTTAGTGTCTGAACTTACACAGCCATACAAGGAAGCCAATAACGTCCCAGAACTGCTGAGAGCACCGGGAAGTGGGAGAGAGCCTGTGGTCCATGCTCTACAGACATCGGGACCAAATGTCAGGGAGCTGCCAGGACCCAACACTGCAGAAAGGGAGTAAGAGCCGGCGTCAGCCAAGTGGGAGACACTATGACATCACTAAGCAGCCAAGCTAGCAATCACACGAGTCTTCCTCAGGGTAGCGGCCTCCGTCACCACTCTGTAACAGCCTCTGGGCAGCAGTCCTGGGGCGAGGAACACAGCCAGACCGCTATATGCACACCCTCCTGCTGGGAGCCAGATGGGACCAAGCCCAGGCAGCGAGGCTCTGGCATTAAACACGCACGTCCCAGTTGAGGGAGCTGCTTTTTCCACATAGCATAAGCTTAGTGAGTGGACCCTGAGCCTCTCATCCAAACCCCGCAGCTCGGCTTATGTCCATGTCTGCTCACTGCGTCAAGCCTTGGCACCAACAACCAATCCTTGTGACCCAAATGCCAGGTGCCAACAGCTCCCATGTGAAAGCTGAAGAATCTCCTCAGGTGTAAGGAATTTGCCTTCTGAATAGGGAATCAACATCTAAGAATGATTAACTTATTTGAAACAGGGCTTTATTTGAAAGTCCAAGGAGCCAGGAAAGAAACGAGCTCACACAGAATTCAGGCAAGTTTGCAATGATCTGGGGTAGCTTATCTGGGACCACCAAAGAGACCCTTTAGCTCATCGGCTATCCTGAGAGCTGGGCCCAGCTAAAATGATGGAAACCAAACCAGGCTGGGAGGAACTAGAAGAGGCGGGGACCACCTCTGACTTGTGGGCATCCTCTCTGCCTGGAGACCCCTGAAACACAGAAGGCCCACAGGAGTGGCTGATTCTCTTCCCAGCTCCACCAATATCATCCAGAAGAAAACTTGAACCCCCTGCAGAGGCAGGGGTCACTGGGTGTAGAACCGACTGTCATGTCACCGTGACATCCCGACAGAACCAACTTAAGGGACAAATACTCTGCCTCACTTGGTCCAGCAGGCAGAGAAGGCATGGCAGTGGGAACGTGCGGCCACAGTTGTTCACACAGTGGCGGATTAGGAAGTAGAGAGAGCTAGACCAGAAGCAGGGGTAAGGCATAACCTTCAACCCCCACCCCCGCCCCAGGATTCAGTGACCTGATCCAACCAGGCAGCCCCTACCTCCAAGCATTCAGAACAAGCTGTGGAGGAATTCTCAGATGCGAACCCTGGTGGTGGTGATGCTCAGAAGAGGCCAGCTTTGAGCTTTAGCAGAGCATACGGCTCATAGGAGGCACACCTGCCGGCGCCTTTGCTCTGTCGTTACAAAGCTCACAGACTGGGTGGCTTAGATGCCATAAACATTTCTCACAGCTTTGTGGGGTACAGGTCAGATCCAGGAGCCAGCACAGTTGGGGGTAAAGGCCCCTTCCACCGCCCTTTTTCATATCTTAATCTGGTAGACATGTCTCTCTAGGGTCACCTTTATAAGGACACAAATCCCATTATAAGGGCTCCCATCCTCATGCCCTGAACCACTTTCCCAAGTCCCTATTTCCTAATATCATCCCATTAGGACGGACAGTTTAATGTGCGAATGGGCTGGTGGTCAGCGGCTGGTTCCTGACATACAGTAACTGTTCTTTTCCTCAGTAATTACCTCGATGGACACCGAGAATCACACTACTTTCTGGTTTCCCTTTTGTGTTTAGGGCCCTGTGGTTCCCAGTTAACATTTGCTTCAGTTCTGGCTCTATTTTCTATCCTCTTCCTCGGGCATCGCTGAATCCATCCCCCTTATTCTTGTGTAGGACTGACTTGCCTGCTGCCTGCAGGGCTGAGGGCGACAATCCTTAGTGCTACCGCACTAGAACACTGCATTGTAAACCAATGACTGGGAAACACAACCTATCGGGATGGCAACTTCTGGCCCGCAGGTCATTTTATTCCACAGGGGGAGAAATTCATTTTGTGTGTGTGGCCATGGGAGAGCAATTGGGTGTCTTCTTTGAGAGTTCTCCACTGCACTCCGTCAGACAGGGTCCCTAACCCATTCGGGTAGGACGGCTGGCCTGTGAGCTCTGGGAATCTGCCTGTCTCTCCAGATCTGGGATCACTAACTCATGTGCCAGGCACTCAGTTTTTCACGTGGGTGCTGGGGATCCGAACTCAGATCCTCACGCTTGCACAGCAAGCATTTTACTGAGCCCTAAAGTTTGTTTTCTTTCTTCCTTTTTTCCCTGGCGGTGCTGTGGGTTGAACCTGGGGCCTCCAGCATGCAGGGGAAGCACACTCGCACTCAGCTTTTTCCCCAGCCTGAAAGTGGATTTCTGTCAGTAAGCCACAAGGTAAGCATCAGCCGACTCTAGCAGGAACCCATCCTGCTAGAGATAATAACAAATGGATCAAATGACTGACTACCACTTAAAGCTTCACGTCCCCTGTTATATCTCTACCCCAGTGCAGACCCAATTTTTGCTTCTGGCTAAAGGCAAGCTTTAGAGCAAGGGATGTTTTTGTTGTTCTGGATTTTGCTAGCTTATGTTTTGTTTTAGATCTAAGTTTTGGTCACTTGTTGGCTGAGCTCTCAGTGTGGCATACACGCTGGTACTCCGTGCTCACGGAAGTCTCAGGGCAGTGGATCTGCTCCTGTGCTTACCTCTGCTTAGTGGTGGGGGTGCCCATGAGTCATGCGCCTGTGCAGGTCAGAGGGCACTTGTACCAGTCATTCTCTATTCCACCATGTAGGTTCTGAACTCAGGCCTTCAAAGCTTGGCAGCAAGGACCCATCCCCGCTGGGCGATCTCTTCAGCCTTGGAGTAATCTGCATGTTCATGATCTGCATGGCCCATAGCTACAATGCACTTAGGCCAGAAGCTGGTGGGAACTGCCTGTATAGAATGCTGTGTCCCCTCTGTAATATTGAGTTGCAGGTGTCACCCCAGCCCCTGGCCTGGGAATTACCCTGGTTCGGACTCCAATTCCCAGCCTGCCAAGCGCTGACCCCTCCCCAGCAAGAGTCAGGACCACTCCCACAGGGTAATTAGGCTCGTGCTGGAAAAAAAAACATGGTTTCTCTGTCTTCCCCCCTGCCATGCTCCCAGCCACCCAAGAACGTGGCATTCACTAAATGTGGGCATTTTTGAATCGGTCTAATCTGTTTTGATTGGAGTATTTTGCGCCAGCAGAGAGGCTCTGTTAGGAAATTGTCCTAACACCCTCTAGGTATTCACTCTGATGGCCTCCATGGTTTCTGCCATATCAGACAATGTTTAACTCCTCATGCTTTTTCTTTTCATATCCTTGAGGTCGGCTGGCAGCCAAGTCCTTGGCCTAGACGAAGGATCCGGCTAGTTTCCTCCAGTCCATTGTAGTCTTGCTGCCCTCAGGGCAGCCCAGACCAGCCCAATCCAACTTATCTCAATCACAAGCAGGCAGGAATTTCAAGGATCATAAACTGAGGGTTTGCCAACCTAAGATCAGGTTACTGGCCTTAAAGTGGTATCCACCATTAAGATAGCATAAGACACTCTCCTGCATTCATACCCACCCTTACAGAGTGGGAAAGCAGCTGGGACTCAGGAATAGGAGGATCTCGGGAAGTTATGGGCCACCCAGGGGAGCTACACAGTGAAACACTGTCTCAAAACACAACAAAAAAAGCCAGGCAATCAAATCTGCCAATAATCCCTTGCCAGCTCCTCAAATGGCATGGCAGAGGCAAGGAACATACAAGGGAAAAAAACCCACCTCAATTTAAAATCAGTTAGAATCTGACCCAAGAGCAAGCCCAACCACCTTTTTATCCTTCCTCCCTTTTTTGGTCGTGTACAACCACCATCCTGTCACTACCCACTTCCTCTAAGACAAGAAGGAAGTGGAAGTTCAGGCAAGTTTGCATTTGTCTTACATTCTGTGTGTCCCTTTCCTATGGCACCGAGGTTGCAAACAACTGGGGCCATCTCAAGCAGAGTGGACCATACAATTAAGTCTCTTTACATAACTAGTATTTGATGTGGTTAGAAAATAAATAATCGTGTGAAGATGAAGTGTAATTTTTAAAAGCTTATTTTTATGAATTTAAATTTAAAAAACCAACACAAAGGTTAGAGGTGCTTTTGCTTCTTGTGTAATATAGATGCCACTTGAGAAATTACTTGGATTCTTTCCTGGCTTTCATAACTTCTTCTGTATACTTTAACATAGCCAACATGAAGAAATTCCAAATATTCTCAGTGAGATGGCCGTATCTTGAGATCATGCATGGCTAATGGAGTGTGGTGTGCTTCTCTGAGGCCCCAGACTGCCAGTCTCTACCATTTAACCAAGCAGCTTTACCTTGAGCCCATCAGTTTCTCGAAAAGATATTCTTTAGCTCGAAGCTGTTTTCTTTTGGCCTACAATTTTGGTGTTTCTAAACAAGCCCAGAACACAAGGGCATGCACGTGCTCATGAATCAATGCCTTCCTGTCACATGGTTTTCTCCCTCAGTTTCTGCTTTGGGTGCTTGTAGGCCACCATTAACCTTTCAGTGCAGCTAGACAAAATTATTATACAATGCAACACACAAAATTTGAGACATTTTTGGCAATGTATTTTTATGTCTTTTAATTAAAAAACTTAAGATATAAAACAGGCATTTTACATAATGCATACATTCTCAACATCTGCAGATGAGATAAATAACAGAAGGCAAAAGCAGACATATTGTATTGCTTCTCTTTGGTAAGTCACCAATATCATTCTCTGCAAAAAACAGAATATGTGTTTGTCTTTAAAAAAAAAAAAAAAAACCCATGGTCTTAAACTGTCCCTTAGTATTAACAAAACATTGAGCAATAATGCAGTGGGTGTAACTTCAAATTGACAAGAAAGGATAATACTTTATTCTCTGAGGGTTAAGTAGCTGCTTTCCAAAATTAAGGCCTACAGAGAAACAACCTTTTTCTAGCTACCTCTGTACTGGCTTTTTAAAAACATCACATTCAAACTCCCTGACACAATTCTTACAGACCTTTTCATTACACAAAATCTCTCGCCAGTCTGACACCATCCAACCCAACTAATCCCATTTCCTATGAGGAGATTCTGCTTTAATTCAGCATCATCTAAACTCAGTGTCCCAATAAAAAAGACCAAAAATTCCATTGAATTTGTTCCAACAAACAGCACATATATACACCGTGGCTCTACTGGAGCAATATATACAGGTCAGAACTGAGTTAGAAAACTAAAATAAAACGGCCCATTCAATACATAGCAGCTTGGATCTAAATATATACAGGTATGTATATGTTTTCACAGTTAATCTTTTAAAAAAAATTACATGATATGTTCAGAAATATTTCTATGGTCTATAAATAATACTTTAAAAGTTCAACTAACAAAAGAAATGAAGAGTCAATCAAATTAAATAATCTTCAGAGCCTTTAGAACAAATGATTGTGTGGGTAAAGAGCTGGAGGTGTTGTCTGGTGAAGGGTGTCTGTCAGGCCCCAGCAGGACAGGCAGTCTTCCTTCTAAACCCGGTAGGAGAGAAACTCCAAAACTTTGGAAGGAACCGGAAGTTTCTGGACTTCTTGGGTGGGCATCACTCTTCGGATTGACATGCGACATAGATGCTGAAGGCTAGGGACTTGCCTTGGAGTGGCCCAAAAATAAACACTTCCATCATGTGTTCTTAAGAGAGAGAGAGAGAGAGAAAAAAAAAAAAAGCATGGTCACCCAACTTAAATGTATTTCATGTCCTACAGCTAGCTCTGTCAGAACCACAATCTCACTTTAAATCCAGTAAGAAGTAACCAGCACAAGGCAGTAACAGGATTATAGTTTGTCTAGGAAATTTGCAGGACTGTTTGTGTTGAGAAACAAGAGAAAAAGCTGGAGAGATGGTTTAGCTGTTATGAGCACTTGATGCTTCCAACATTCACACAATGGCTTACAAATACTGAAAACTCCAGTTCTAGATCACACCCTCTTCTGGCTCCCACAGGTACTACATGCACACATTACAAAGACATGCAAGCATAATACCCATGCACATAAACTAAAAACAAATCTTCAAAAGAAAAAGAAACAAGAAAGACGTACTTACCCGGCAGCTAAAACACTGCCATCGGTAGAAAAGGCACAGCAGAGACCATTGCTCAAAGTGGCAACTTGTACTGGACAATCCTCATCAATTCTCCAGAACCTCACCATTCTGGAAGGGAAACAAGTCATGGAGTTGAAAGTCAGAAAGCAGTGCTTTTGTGTTGAATCACACAGCATAAACACACAAATCACTTGAGACCACGGTGACTTTGGTTGAGACAGGCTATTATGTAACCCAGGTTGGCATCACGCTCCTGATCTTCCTGCCTTTACTTCCCAAGAGCTGGGATTACAGGGTCTCCATCCAGCTAATAGTAAGTTTTTGTTGTTTGAATATGGTCTCATTACATAACCCAAACTGGACAGTCTCCTAAAATGCCAAAAATCACAGGCATGAGCCTCCACATCCAACTAGCTCAGTGATACTAGTATGCTTTATATACTTACTATTTTATATTCTATACCATTTGGTAATTTGGATGAACTCCAAAGAAATCACAAGGCATGACTTTGTAATCTCAGTGTTTGAACCTATGATGTTCACAACTGGAAGCTTTCTCATTTTCTTACAGGTAAAATGACATAATTTGCTTTATTCTTTTCTACCTTTGCCTAATCTCAAAAGCATTGGCTACCAATTTGACAGACGTGTGCCACCATAGTCAGCAATGCAAAAAAAAAAAAAAAAAGAAAAGAAAAAAAGAAAAAAAAGCAAGGTGTTGTCTAGAGAGACATTAAAACCCAGCTACAGGATGGGTATCCTGGTGGTCCACATCAAATTCCTAGCACTCAGGAGGCAAGGGTAGAAAGATCTTAAGTTCAAGACCTACCCAGCCTACATACCAAGACCATTTTAAATACAAACAAAAAAGCCAGGCCCCACAAAAACCTGAACCTCACTAAAGAAAGGTGTTAAGACTTAAAACATGCTTTCATTAAGAATGAAACCTTTAGAAGGTATGAATAGTCAAATGATACTCCCGACACTTACTTGTCATCAGCAAGGCTTGCAACATGCAGTCCATCATGACTGAAAGACACAGCTCGTACCCACCGGTCATTTGCTCCTCCAGCAAATATCGGAGTAGGCGGGGGAAACAGGTGCCTGGGGGCAGAGACATCTTTTCAGTGGGTTTCAGAATCAATTCAAGAAACAAAATGGCCTTGGTATCGAGCTCACTGACCTTTGAATAAGATTTAAAGTGGGCCTCAGATGATACAAATAAGATGGGGGAAAGCTGTTACAGCTGAGCTAAATGTTAACAGGAAGCCAGGGGTACAGTAATCGTGTTTCCCAGCTACAACTGCCAGCAAAAGCAAGGGCTTTTTCATAACATTTAAGCCCAACTTCTGTTTAATAATTTTCCCAGGCATGAAACGCTAGTATATTACCATTTCTACAGAATAGACATTTAATACCAAGACCCACCTAATAACAGCCATATTTATCTAAAGCTTTGCACTATTCAAGTGCTCACATAACTTTTACTTTATGAGATTGCTAATTTTACATTGTTAGGGATTCTAACTGTACTTACCCGAATTCCATCAGAATGTCCCCACTGTGTGGATCCCAGACATACACACGAGTATCGTAAGATGCAGTAGCTAGCAAAGCTCCATCAGGAGAAAAGTCACAAGCTACAACATCATGGTGATGCCCTTCGAGTCTCCTTATCATGGTGTACGTATCCATATTCCAAAGGAAAACCTGCAATAATAAAAAAGTCAAATGTTATAGCTTCAGTTAGACACACAGAGGACAAAGGGGCATATCTTAAACTACAACTGCTACTTTAATATTACATTGAATTAATTACAAATTATGAGTAATTTAAAGAATATGCTCAGTGTCGTAGATTAAAAATCAGTCTTTAAGTTAATTAAAGCAGACATGCAAATTTCTATTTCAAATGTTTCTGTTAAATGTTAATTTAAAAAATAGGCCTAAAGGGAAAATAAAGGCAATGCAATTTAACCACTGAAATCCATTTATTCGAAAACTAATTAAGTAAAATATATGGTAATAAATAGGGTTAAGTATTACAAACCCCTTTCTCTTTTTTTCCAGAAACTACCAATTTTAAAAATATATACAGACAGAAAATGTAATGTTAGCAAATTGTTACTCCATTGGCATCTCCTTTGAGATAATCACTTGTTTACAATAGGCTTGGGTCACCACCGAGAGCCTAGGAAGAGAAACAGATACTGCAAGAAAAGAGAATTTTCACAGCCAAATGTAATTTTGTTGGCAAACAACAAAGATGTTAAACTACATTACAAACGAAAATGCTATTTTATGAAAATAATGTATTTAATTACTATGCTTTTTTGTAATTAGCAGTCTTATTTTTCCAAACTGACTAGAATCATTAGTCATTTTCAGCATAAAAGTTAAATTACTTAAAAATAAGATTACATAGAGTCTAAACTGTGCAGAAGGTTCTTTTGCTGTTTTTTCTTTTTTTTGCTTTGAAGCAGTGTCTCACCAAGGTGCCCAGGCTGTCCTTGGATTGGAATCCCCTTGCCTCAGTCTCCTGAGGAGCTCTAGACCGGATTCTAATGCTTACTGCAGTCTGCTAGATTAAGATCGGAGGTTTACAGCAAGCCTAGTGAGACAGCTTCCCTCCTCTTGCTACTTCCTTTCTGCACACATTATTTCCAAAGGGAAATAAGTATAATAATAACTAGGTCAATGATTTAAGGTACTGCCAGCATCTTAAGAAATTCTAAAAAACAGAGGAAGCACTCAAAAACCTGTTTCTTTACATTAAATTGGGTTCACTTGTCAGACTCTCAATTCCATCAACTGGAAAATCAATTTACTGAGGAGTCTGGATTTTACTGTGGGGAAATTTTTTTTTAAAGGAAAAAAAAAAGAAAAAGAAAAGAAAAGAAAGAAAAGCAGAAAGTGGACATCGACCAGCACCTGTGTACGTACAGTACACCTTGCAGCCGAATGCAAGGTTACTTCATCCTATGGTAAAGGTCGCCCCCAGCCCGGTAGCCAGAGATGCCACTCTTTCTGCCCAGCTAACACCATTGTGCGCTGTGTGCGAGTGGTGCCAGCATAACTCAATCACACCAATATTGCTGCCACCACCTGTGACAGGAAAAGCAAGAAGCATATGGAAAACACACAGCCTAAAATAGCAATGCAAACATCTATCTTGTTTTATGATTAAAAAAAAATAACTAAGCTATTTGTTCTAAACTTCTAACATTCACAACTATCATTTTAACATACTTCTTGGCAAAATAAATGTTTCATCTAGCCACAACCCCCACCCCCATCAGTGCAAAGCGTGCTGTGATCATTACACGTTCTGGAGATCGGCCAGTTTCATACTCAATGCTACTGCTGCGCTCCCCACATAACCCTGACTCAGAGCTAGGAAACTGACAGCTCACTGACCTCACAGCCCCCAGTCACTACTTAAGCTGCCAATAGCAAGCAAGCTGTAAAACAATGTGCAGCTCCATTTACGATCCACTCTAGCACATAAATGATTGCTAATTTTATTATGTTTTTAAATTACTTTTTTTTTCAGTTAAATGTCCAGGATCAGCTGGGACTCAACTTAAACAAAACAGCAAACTGGACAAAACAAAAACAAAGAAAATAATTAGCAAGGAAATATCTTAACATATGGACTAGATCTGGTCTATATCACATAAGCTTTCCTAGATCTCACAAAAAACTAACTAACCTTCATTTTATAAATATCTCTAAAAGCAATTCAATTTCTCAATTCACAAATAGCTAATTTTCTACATGCAAATTTTCTCCATCATGAAATAAAGCATTAAGATATTCATGACACCGAGCACAGACTTAATAGGTTACTTAGATTCAAAATGATTAAGCATACATTATCATCCAATTCACAATACGTGAGCAAGAACTTTGACACATACTGCTTTACTGGCTCCAACTGAACACAGCATGGAGGAGTCGGGAGAGAACGCTCAGCTGTACACCCAGTTCTGATGGCCCCGCAACACTTTCATCATGTTTCCTGAACAAAGAAACATCCGGTCAGGACAATGCACTTCAAATCAGTAACACCGACATGACTGTAATCTACAGTTACCATAAACTACTTTTATAGCTGAAAAAAATATAAATACAGATAGATAGATACAGAGCCCTTCAATATCTGCCACCTGCCTGCCCACCCACCCACTCTCCCTCCCTTCCTCTGTCCTTCCTTCCAAGGCAAGGTCTCTCTACGTAGCCCTGACTGGCCTTAAACTCTCAGAGAGTAGTATCTGTTGCTTGATAAAATTACAGAGATGGGAAACACTACTCAGTAGTCAAGAGCACACTCTGAGGTTGATACTCAGCATCCTAACTGACAACTGCCCTGCAACTCAAATGCAGGAGGAGATCCAATGCCCCTGGCCTCCTCAGGCACCCATACACACCCCTACAAGACCCACATGAATAAACACGATGACAAATAATACATCACATAATGTAAAAGCCAGGCACACTAATCTATGTCTTTAATCTCAGCATTTAGGAGACAGAGGCAGGTATTGTAGCCTTATGTACATTCATTTGTATTGCTCTCCAACAAGATAAAACTTTGTAAGCATCAAGATACCATGTTTCAGAAAAAAAAAATTGAGTTCACCAACACACTTTTCTGTGAGATTAGAGGGAAAAATATCTTACTTTTTTAATAAAAGAATTTATGATCTATGCTTACCACCATTTAATCATGTTATAAATCCTGGTTTGTAAATTCGGCCACAATCTAAATTTTATTAGATGATTGAATTTGTTGCTTAAACTCTTACTTAAAATTTTTTTATTCTAAAATTTCATTTATTTAGTGCTTGTTGAGTGTTTTGGCTGCATATGTCTATGAACTATGTGCATGCAGTGTCCACAGAGAAGAAAAGGTGTTGGGTCCCTTGGAACTAGACTTCTGGATCTGTGGTCAGTTTCTGAGCAGTGTCAAAATGGTTTATTATTTTATCTGTTTGTTTAATCTGTATTTTTGTTTTCCAAATATTAAACAAAAAAAGAAACCTTGGTCACCAAGCCATTGGTTTGTTTTTCTGATAAAGTATCAGGCTAAGTAGCCAAGTTTGGCCTAGAGCTCTCTATTTTCCTGCCTCGCCCACTAGTGCTATGATTACAGGTGTGTTGCAGGGTGGGGCAATCCTGTGAGCACTCTCAGTAGTCACATCAAGTCAGGTGTGGTGACACTTGCTCTAATTCCAGCACTCAGGAGACAGGCAGGTGGATCTCTGTGAGGCCAGCCTGGTCTGCACAGAGATTTCTAGACTAGCCAGGACTATATAGAGACCCTGGCCCCAACCCCCAGAAAGGAAACAAAAACACCTCACTCTCTTACATAGGTGGAACCAAGAAAAAAGACGTACATACCATCATCTTTGAGGTCCCACACTCGAAGAGTTTTGTCTCTTGAAGCTGATACAAGGATTAAGCTCCCATCTGGAGCAAAAGTTAAGTCTCTGACCACTTCAACGTGGTCTACCAAATTAAGGAGGAGCTTTCCTAAAGGTGATTGAAAGAAGGAGACAAGATCAGTATTTATCTTTTATTTTTGTAGTTTTGTTACCGTAAAGAATGAAGACAGTCTTGGGTACCCCTAGTTCTATGAAGTAAATTATTTCACTTACTAATTACTGGCTATTGTTTCTTGTGAGGATTCACTACTTAGGTTTTTAAGTAATTTCCTCCCAAGATAACAAGCCCTGCATTACTAGATAAATGTAAAAGGAACTACTAAAATGCAAGCACACCCTTGATCAAATTAGCACCAAGAAAGCCCTGTATACTGTCTATTCTAAGTGTTTGTACAGCATGACTTTATTGTGTGTCTGAGGACAACCTGCTGCTGCTGGTTCTCTACCACGTGGCCCCACTCAGGCTGTCAGGCGTGGCAGCAAGCACGTTTATCTGTTGAACCTCACCAGCCCCCGTATGTCTTTAAAACAAAATCAAAATGTCAACTTTTCTCTTTATTTCCTTGGCCTTGGACTATCAAATGCCCCACAAAATAAAACCTCACAATGTTTTATTTTAACATTATCTAAACAAAAAGAGTATTTATTAGTTACTTATTTGCTTTAAGGTAAACACAGATTTTCCCCCTGAGCACCTCCCTCACCCTTGGTGGAGAGGTTGAACTATGCAGTTCATGCTGCCTTCAACTTGCTATGTCTACCAGGCTGACCACAGCCTTTTCAGTGCTTGGAGCACAACTGTGTATCACCACGCTCGGTCTGAACACTTCTTTTTTAGTTTTTGAGACAGGGTCTCTCAATATAGCCCTAGCTGACCCAGAACTCACATGTAGACCAGACTGGCCTCAAACTAACAGAGATTGGCCTGTTTCTGCCTCCTGAGTGTTGGGATTAAAGGGGTATACCACCACATCCCACCTCGAACACTTAATTGTTCAAAGAATTTAACTTATCTTTGAAGACAGGGTTTCTCATTTTTCTGTGTAGCCTGGAACTCTCTCTGTAAACCAGGCTCCTCCTGCCTCTGCCTCCTAAATATTGGGATTAAGGGCATTTGCTACCACACACGGAAAAGAATTCAAATTTCCAACCCCTAGACATTGGATAAAGAGGTTAGATATTATTAAAATCCCAGCACTCAGGAGGCAGAGGCACACGAATCTCTATGAGTTCGAGGCCAGCCTTGTCTACAAGAGTTCCAGGACAGGTTCAAAGCTACAGAGAAACCCCGTACCAAAAACAACAACAACAACAAAAAAAACTACAACAACAACAACAAAAAACTGGGAGATGTGGCAGCCGGCTGCAATCCTAGCACTTAGGACGTGCAGTCAGGAAGAGCAGAGTTAAGGTCATACTTCACTACACAGCAAGTTTAAGGCCTGCATGGAATACAAAAAAACTGATTTCCCTCAAAATCCTCTAAGTGATCACTGAAAAAGCATGTATGACATTTTGCTGAGTCATAAACTAATTATGAGTTTAGAAATACAACCCATACATGTTTTGCATACTTTATCAAGTATGAACTCTATATTATTCTCCTAAATTAAAACTATGAACTAAAGACTTAGAATAATTATAGAGATACAACCAATCCCACTTCTCTACCATAAACCCTTAAATCATAGATTCCAGTGACTATTATAAAGTAATCAGATTCACTTTTGAAATTATGAATCCATACCTGTATATACATCCCAGATTTTGATGCGACCATTGTTTAATCCCGTGGCAAGGAGTAGCTGATCCTGTCCAAATCGGAAGCGATGCCATTCTATATTAACACAGCGGCTCTGTTTTTCTGGAACTGAAGACCCAAAAGCAAGACTCCAGACTATGTCTCCACAGTCTATAATGTGTTCACGAGGCTTATTTTTCTGACCACCATTACTATTTTGTCTCGTCAATTTTTGACAGCTTGAATTGGTAACATTCTTGGAGCCATGTAAAGGACTGAGGGGGAAAGATTGAAAATGAATTCTTTATATTATACTTCTATAGACACTAATTGTTAACACTTGGTAAATAGTTTCAACAAAACTGTAACACTAATTCTACAGATGGGAAAATTGGCACCTAAAATAGAAGGCCAGACAAGTTCAACTCATGAAAACTGTTAGTGGAAGAGAAAATCTTCAATAAGAAAGCAACATATTGCCAGGTGGTGTTGGCACACATCTTTAATCCCAGCACTCGGGAGGCAGAGGCAGGCAGATCTCTGTGAGTCGAGGTCAGCCTGGTCTACAGAGCTAGTTCCAGGACAAGCTTCCAAAGCTACAGAGAAGCCCTGCCTTGAGTTCCCTGCCCTTCCCCCCCCCCCAAAATAGATTTTAAAGCCAATCTGGGCCACATAGCACGACTATCTTATTAAAGAAAAACCTGTTCATATACTAACTACTGTTAAGCAATAAAACATATGAAATCCAAAGTGAATGCAAAAAACTTCACCTAACAAAGATCTGACACAACAGGACATAACACTAATGTGAGGCACAACCTGTCTTTCCTTACAGATACACTTAACAGGAGAAAGGGTGTAGGTTAGTTGGTGAAGTATTGGCTCCAGCATATGAAGCCTTAGAGTTTATTTAGTGGGGGAGGGGTGGGAGCATAAATGTCTGAGAAAAATATTAAAACACTCTACAATGTACAAATAAAGTCCAGATTTTGGTCTACACCATGAGGTCATCTGCTACCACACCCACCCAGGGAATTCTTTTTTTTCCCTTTCCTTTTTGAGACAGGGTTTTTCTATTATGTAGCCCTGGCTGTCTCAGAACTCACTGTATAGACCAGGCTGGCCTTGAACTCAAGAGATCTACTGTCTCCACCTCTCAAGTGCTGGGACTAAAGGGATGCACCACTATGGGTGGCTCAGGCAATTCTTTACAGAAAGAGCCGGGCGGTGGTGGCTCACGCCTTTAATCCCAGCACTCGGGAGGCAGAGGCAGGCGGATCTCTGTGAGTTTGAGGCCAGCCTGGTCTACAAGAGCTAGTTCCAGGACAGGCACCAAAGCTACAGAGAAACCCTGTCTCTAAAAACCAAAAAAAAAAAAAAAAAAAAAGAAACCTCGAATACATGGATTCAAACTACAAACAAACTTGTAACAGTCTATAAAAGAAAACTTAAACATTTTATTGCCCAACACCGACAGACAAGAGTAAATTCTACAAATACAAAGAAAGAAGTCTTACAAGTTCTTAAGGCACTGGGACCACGGGACAAGCTTCACGATGCGATATCCTTGGGACCACGCAAAGTAGGAACCATCCGGAGCGAAAGCCACAGTCCAGTTCTCACTACCACATTTCTTGTCAAAAGGAGCTGCCGGAGCTAAGAGTTCCCCTACAGTACGCGATCTCACTGAAACAAAAACAAAAACGGCATGATATATATACCAACAGTGGATGGGAGATGGCCCCACGTTACTTTGGAATTTGTTGAGGGTGCGGGCTTTCCACCCACAGAACTTGAGATTAGCTGTAATAAAGTGGTTTTCCCATGCAAGATATTAAGGATGGCAGCAGTGTGGTGGGCACACCTATCTATCATCAGCACTTAGAAGGCTTAGGAAGGAGGACAAGGAGTTCAAGGAAGTCAGGGTCACGTGAGACCTTGTCATAAAGTTTCAGTGGGTGTCATAAAGTTTCAGGAGGTGAAGGTGGGACAACTTGGCTTTGAGACCAGCCTGGATTATACAGGCAGACCTGAAGAAAGTGGAAGGGGAATTAAGGTTTTAGGAACCCTTATGCTCAGCAGTTGCTCTTGCTAGCAACAGAAGCCCTGGTTTCGATCTTCTTCAAAGCACAAACCACATCAAGAGGATTGGAATTTCAGCTACACGGTCAGCTCAAAGCCAGACCAGGTCACACACACACACACACACACACACACACACACACACACACACAGTCACCCAGAAGGCTGGGACTCTGTCAAAGTAATTTTTTTTTTTAAGGGCTAGACGGAGGGAGGGCTGGAAGAGTTGGCTCAGTGAAAGAGCAAGAATGCTGCAAAGGACTAGACTTGATCTCTAGACCCACATGGAGGCACAGCACCTCCCCGGACACCAAGCCAGGATGTGGTACACATATATACTTGCAGGCAAAACATTCACACACACAAAGCAGCAAAAATAAACAGAGATCAAACAAACAAATAAATGACAACACAAATGGCCCAGTGGGTACAGACACCTGCTGTCAAGCCTCACCACTTGAGTCCCGGACCTACATGGGACAAGGGAAAAACCCACGCTCCCAATTTGTTCTCTGACCACCACATGAAATAACTGATATTGAAAAAGGGTAGAGGGAGGGCTGGAGAGATGGCTCTGAGGTTAAGAGCACTGGTTGCCCTTCCAGAGGTTCTGAGTTCAATTCCCAGCAACCACAGGGTAGCTCACAATCATAGAATGAATCTGGTGGCCTGCAGGCATACGTGCAGGCAGAACTCTGTATACATAATAAATAAATCTTCAAAAAAAAAAAAAAAAGGCACAGGGAGAGCTAGAGCTATATATAGCTCAATAGTAGAATGCTTGCCTAGAAAGCATTAGACCCTGGTATGGGTGCAGGGAGATGACGCCTTTGTGTTGTGTACTTCATCAGTAACAACTAATCTAACACCTAGCATGACAAGTGTTCAATTAACATTTACTTAGCAAATAGGAAAGCACAAGGATGTTCCTGGCCCAACTTGATCCTTTAACAAAAGAGTATAGTTTAAAACCCCCAAAGAAGCCTGATATCCATTTTCTACATTATTCTGAAACGTTTCTCCTTGTATGAAAATAGCCATGTATTTTCACTAAAGAGAAATAGAACTTTGTTTAAACAATACCCCCCCCCTTTTGGTTTTTCAAGACAGGATTGCTTTGTGAAACAGTCCTGGTTGCCTTGGAACTCGCTTTGTAGACCAGGCTGGTTTCAAACTCAGAGATCTGCCTGCCTCTGCCTCCCAAGTGCTTGGATTGAAGGCGTGTGCCACGGCCACCCAGCCATTTTTTTTTTTCCTTTTTAATAACTCAAAATCTGATGAGCAGTGGTGTCATATACCTTTAATCCCAGTAATCAGGAGGCAGGGGCAGATTTGAGGTTCACCTGGTCTACAGAGCCCAGGGTTACAGAGAGAAACCTTGCCCGGAAACAAAACAAAATCTTGAAATCTTCCTTCTAACCTGTCCACCTGTCTAGTCCTGATTCTGATCTGAGAACCTAATTAACAATCCTGTTCTTGTGACACACGTGATATCTGCACTGGCATCTTTTTCAGCTATAATATTCTTAGTTCTTCCAATCGTTCCTTAGATTACAAAAAAATCGAGTCCATTTTCTATCTTTTCCCACCTTAATTAGTTCCACCACATTTTTCTGGATAGAATCCAGTTAGTAGTGGCCCTTAGAAAAGTGGTACCCAGAACTGTACCTGCACTTTCCAGTGTGGACTTGTCAAAGTGATAGATAACCCTCACTTACTCAAAAGTCAGCAACACAGCATAAGCTCGCACTCATTCAACTGGCAGTCACGAGTGTAAGATTCACTAGTAGGCGAGCCTCAGATACCTGCAGAATGGTTTCTCCACGTATAAACTTCAGGAAGAGCAGTTACAGGCTTCCTGCATTTTTCCAAGCATATACTATTACATGATCATTTCATTGGGGTTGTCTTTATCTTCCCAGTTTCCCTTAAAAACCAGATTCCAGCCAGGCAGTGGTGATATACACCTTTAATCCCAGCACTCAGGAGGCAGAGGCAGGAGGATGAGTTAGAGGCCAGCCTGATCTACAGAGTGAGTTCCTGGATAAGCCAAAGCTACACAGCAAAATCCTGTCTGAAAAACAACGACAACAACAACAAAACCCTGGGAATCCTGTTAAATTTCCATCTATTAGCCAAAAATTTTTTAAAATATTTATTTATTTATTATGGACACACTATTCTGTTTGCATATATGTCTGTAGGCCAGAAGAGGACACCAGACCTCATTACAGATGGTTGTGAGCCACCATGTGGTTGCTGGGAATCGAACTCGGGTCCTTTGGAAGAGCACGCAATGCTCTTAACCACTGAGCCATCTCTCCAGCCCTATTAGTCAAAATTTATGAATATTAGTAGAAGGGACCTTGCTCACCAATAAGAGAACTAAGTTTTAAAATTCTATTAAAAAAAAAAAAAGGAGGGGCCAGGCAGTGGTGGCGCTAGCCTTTAATCCCAGCATTTGGGAGGCAGAGGCAGGCGGATCTCTGGGAGTTCAAGGCCAGCCTGAGCTAGTTCGGGGCAGGCACCAAAGCTACAGAGAAACCTGTCTCGAAAAACAAAACAGAAAGGAAGAAACAAAGAAAGAAAGAAAGAAAGAAAGAAAGAAAGAAAGAAAGAAAGAAAGAAAGAAAGAGAGAGAGAAAGAGAGAGAGAGAGAAAGAAAGGGAAGTATCAATTTAAGAGAAAACCTCCAGGTTAATCTAAGTAGAATACTGTATTTCTTACACAAGATTTTTCAAATCTGTATTTTAAGGAAAATAAAAACAAAAACTCTGGTCACAATCACTTTTATCCTCTTCTTTATAAAGTGTTAATATGGAATAGGGATGTGGGATGGTGAAACACCAGGAAACAATAAGCTAACTCAGCCTCAAACGCAGGAAGTTCTATCTAGTACCATTACAAACACTGTAAACAAACGGTTGTCAGTGGTTCTCTATCGCCTTCGTGCTTCCTTGTTGGTTAATAAATACATCAAATGATTCTTATACTTTAATCAGCTGTTTTAAATACTCGAGTACTGACTAGTAAAACATTGTCAACCCAGAGTAAGGTTTACACTGACCTGCTAGTATCATAAAAAAGTATCATCTCCTGACGCCCAACTCTGCCTCAGCACACTGGGCCTGAAACACACCACGCTGTCTGCACAGGATCACATCCTGAGTCACCGCTGAACCAGGCTAACCAGATTTCAGTTCTTCTTCACATTCCTTCCCCCAATTTCATAACCAGAAAGGAAGTGGGACAGTGCCTTCTCAGAGAGGGCAGTAGCTCACGGCAGCGATGTCCCTGTCCCAGAATCCTTTCATCATTCATGAGTCCTGCCTCCACTTTCAGCATGTACAGGAAAATCCTAACTTGACGACAATTAACACTAGGGGTGAGGGTGTTTTATTCATAAACATCAAGCTATACACAGAGATAACTTGTCTAACCTTGTCTCCAAGTGACACTTCAAATACAAAGAAATAAAAAACTAGCTTACAAAAGTCCAAATGTGAAGACATTTGGCACTTAACTTTTTATATTACACCCTAGAAATAAGGAGATATAAAAGTGAAACTCTTAATAAGCAGTTATTTAATGAATGGTTCTACCCTAGCAGGTATTCCAAGAAGCACTATTTATTCCCTTAGAAAGAGGGCAAGAAAGTTTTCAAAGTACAGCTAAATGTACAGTGTTATGGTATAGAGGAGGAAAAACCATTTGTCAGATCACAAGAACTAGAGGGCAGGAAACACAGCTCGGTGGTAGAGTGCTTGCCTAGGATCCGGAAGGTCCTGAGTTCAAGCCCTACCACTACTACAACTAAATTCCTTTTAAAGATCTGAGTTTAAAACACTTAGTTCTAAAACAATTTAGATTAAAAGGCAGGAATTTTATGTTTTCTGTGGCCTTAACATGGCTATAAAACTAATATTAAAGTCACTGGCTAATCAGCCACCCAGCTTCACCCTTCAGGGAACAGCCCCTCCCCCAGTTCTGTTGCTGGCTATTTATGTATAGAAATGCATTCACTTCAGCTTCTCACACTTCCTAGAAATGCCTCCTCCTAACAACTGGCCGATCATACACTTCAGGAGCAGGAAAATGCAAAGGCTCTATGCTCAGTGTCCACTACCTTTCTTTTCTTTTCAACTGGATTTCACTTTGTAGCCTTGGCTACTGGAACTGCCTGCCTCTGCCTTGAGTGTTGGGCTAACTTTAAAAAAGAAAAAGGGAAAAAAAAAGTAATGTCAGCGTCCTCTGAATTCACTCAATCTCATTCAAAGGCCTCAAAGGTGGCTTCTTGGAGAGGACTGAAATAATGCTAAGTGCTTTTAAGGCACTGGGCAGGTCTGGCCCACACCCTTCCACTCCCCATTGTCCTGGCTTCAGCCTGGCACGTGACAGGGCTAGCCCTTTCATCCCTACTCCACAGCCCTCCTTCTGACACTCCACCTAGCCACACTGCTCCTCCCGGGAAAGAGCTTAGATGTTCCTCCTCGGAACCCTTCACTTTGACGGCGTCACCCTCTAAATCATAAAAGCTTTCCACGCGGCTGGCACCCCTTCAGGTTCCTTTCTCCTTAGTGTGCCTGACTGACGGACGGGGAGCGGGTCCTCCTACTGCACCTCAAGACACAAAAGTTCTTCTTTTCCATCACACTTAAGAGATCCTAAGATAAGCCACTTAGCCCATGCTAGCAACCCTCCCGGTTTACTCCACACGCAAGCCCTAAGCCGAGAGAAGCCCAGGATCTCAGACCCGCGCCGAGCTGTGATGGTGACACTGGGGTATGCGGGGCGGTGAGCGTCCTGCCCGGCCTCACGGGAACTCGGAAGGCCAGCTCTGAGACGCGGGTCCATTCACTCCCGGCCGACGCCCATCGTGGGGCCGCTTCCTCCCGCCAATCGGCGCCGATCCTCGCCTCCCCGCTTCTCCTGGGCCTCGGCATCGGACCCCCGCTTCTCAAGGGCCTTGGCATAGGATTTCCCGATGCCCCCCCCCTCCCGGCCCGCTTCTCCCCCGGCCCCGGCGCCAGCCCCTTCGCAGCCTGCCCTCTGTTCCCGCGCTCCCTCTCCATCCTGGGCCTCACCGATCTCTTTCTCGTTGACCCTCGGGGAAAAGCTGGCCATCTATGGGGCACCGTCTGATTCCGGGAACGCGATTCGGACGCGGCGACAGAGAAGGGACTTGGTGGGGGCTAAGGGGCGTGACGCGGGCTCGGTCCTTCCCGGGTGCGGGGAGCGAATCGAGAGCGCTGGCGGCCACTGAGGACTGCCCGGGAAAATCACTGGCTGGCCTGGGACCGAGCCACCGGGTCACACTCAGACAAAAGAGCCGGCGCGCCTTCCACTCACAGACACACACAGCCAAACGACACCTCCGCAGTCAAACCAGACACTGAGACAAGATGGCGGGCGTCACCGATAATATCCTGGAGGCGGGGTGTGGTGCGTGACGTCAGACGGACAGGCCCCGCCTCTCGACGGAAGGGACGTGATCATCTGGGCCCACGTAGTGGCGTGAGCCCTCCTCCATCTGCAATATGCAGGCTGTTTCGAAGTCTAAGGCCCTTGCAAAGGACAAGCAGAGGCTTGTATGTCGCACGTGACTGCACTCAAAAAAAGACAAATAGACGTTTCAGGTGCTTAACTCCATTTAGCTACGTCCCTGGCTCCTCGATGATGGGGAAGTGGAGCTTGCGTTGTTAAAAGTGATACGTAAGATAGCATGATGATGCTCCATTTCTCAGGACGTGAGCCCGCTGCTTTTAGAAAAGGCTCAGTTGTTGATGGCGGAGTCCCACGGTAGTGGGGCCTCCTGAGACCTCCCCAAGTCTGCTTCTGTTCTCACTGGTCCCTAAAGTCAGGCCTTCTGAAAAGCTGGCCAATATCACCTCCACATCAGAATCTGCCCTTCCGTAGAAGTCTGGGTCTCTAGGAGGCAGCTAGCTATCGTCAGAGAGGACAGTTTTGTGTGAGTGCCCCACGTGCCAATTTGAGTACCATCTACAGATGACGTAATTCATTTTAGTGGCTCTCGTGGGGACTCCTTTATGGCTTGGATTTTCTCAGACACTTTTGGAAGATTATCTAGCCGAACTCTTCAGATCTCAAATGACAACGCATGGTGTATGTCCCTTGTCCCTTTGCCTGAAGAAGGAACTCTTCAAATCAAGGAATGATTAATACACATAAACCATCTCCCCCTCTTTTAAAAAAAATATTTAGTTGCTTTCTGACAACATATTTATCAAGGACTTCAAGTAGGCAATCATCCTCACTGCTGAACAGAGTCGAAGGGAAGAAATGCGTACGGAACATGAGAACATAATTTCTGCTTAATTTTGTAATATATCATTATTTATTTGTTTATGTGTTGTGTGTACAAGGTATGTGCATGCTTTTGCCCAAATGTTCGCGTGTTTAAGTGTTCCTGCGTGAATGCAGGCTCTTGCATGCCATCTAATGCGTGTGCAAGGTCAGAGGGCATCCTAGGATGCTGGTCCTTGCCTTCCGCCTTTTCTGAGACAGGGTCTCATGATTCAGTTCTGTGTACACCAGGCCATGGTCCCTGTAACTTCTGTACTCTCCTGCTCCTGACTCCCACCTTTCTGTAGGAGTGAAGGCATGACAGAGGGGTCATCTGTAATCTACTGCCTTCTGCCTTCACCTGGCTTCTGAGGATTCGAACTCAGTTTCTCAGGTTTGTTTTTTTTTTTTTTTATTTAATGACAAACATTTTAACCTCTGGCTCTCTTCCCAGCTTAATTTTTTTTTTTTGAGTTTTCATAAAAAACAGATGGGATGCTTCACAAGTTTGCTGGGCCGAGAGGGAGGGTACAGCTCAGTTGGTGGAGTGTTTGTCTGGATACAGGAGCAATGGACTCCATCCCCAGCACCTCATAAGCCTAGTGTGATGGTACATGCCTGAACACCCGGCACTTGGGAAGAGGAGACAAGAAGAATCAAGAATGTAAGGCCACTTCTGCTAGGAAGTTGCAAGTAGGGAGCCATCCTAATCCACAAGATGAGGCTGCCCTGGTTCATGAGATCTTTATCTTCAAAGAATCTGGAAAACTCCAGGAATTTGTGAGTCATCCTTGTATAGAAACCAGACTTTTTTTTTTTTCCCTCACTTTTTGAGACAGGATTTCTCTGTGTAGCTCTGGCTGTCCTAGAACTCACTCTGAAAACTAGGCTGGTTTCAAATTCACAGAGATCTGTCTGCTTGCCTCTGCCTCCTGAGTTCTGGGATTAAAGGCTCCATCAGTATAAATCCATTCACACGATCTCATTCTGGATATTCACAAACATTGCTCTGTGTAGCTGTATCCTGTGTTGGTGACTTTTTGTCAGTTTAACACAAAACTACAGTCTTCTGGAAACAGGGAACCTCACCTGGGGTGTTGCCTCCAAAGATTTGGCCTGGGGGCGTGTCTATGGGTGTTTTCTTGATTATTGATTGATGTGAGAGGGCCCAGCCCACTGTGGGCAATGCCACTTCTGGGCAGGTGATTTTGAGTTTTATAAGGGAAAAAAAAGCCCCAACCAAGTCAATATGTAGCAGTCCTCCACATTTTCTGCTTTAGTTTCTGTCTCCAGGTCCCTGCCCAGAGTCCCTATGAGTCTTTCTCCACGATGGACACTAACTTGTAAGCCAAACAAACACTTTCTCCCTTGAGCTGTTTCTGGTCAGTGTTTTAGCACAGCATCAGAGAAGCAATCAGGAGATGTAGTTAGGCCCTTGGAGGCCATCTACAATTCTGAGATCGCAGTCAGATGCCAGTACACACAACGAAGGCCGACTGCTGTGCAGCTCATAAACAAGGTGGGTGCATTCCCCTGATGTCAAAATATAAGCAGGCCAAAGCTGTTGTTCCTCTTTGTTCACTAAAATTTAGAAGGGAGTTGCTGTCTGCATATGCATCCACGGGGTAGTCCTTCATCCTCATCATCTTCAAATACCTTCTAGAATAACATCAAGAGGGAAAAGGAGCCAGGCAGTGTTGGTGCACACCTTTAATCCCAACACTTGGGAGGCAGAGGCAGGCAGATCTCTGTGAGTTCGAGGCCAGCCTGGTCTACAAGAGCTAGTTCCAGGACAGGCACCAAAGCTACAGAGAAAACTTGTCTCACAAAAACCAAACCAAAGTAAACCAAAACAAAACAAAAACAAAAAGGGAAAACATACTTTGGCTCTCAGTTGTAGAGGGTCAGTCCCTGGCTGGTAGGCTCGTGTGCACTTCATGGCAGCAGGAGCATGGGGTAGAAGAGGTTTATCACCTCCCTGTGAACAGGAAGCTAAGTGAGAAGACAGGAAGCCCAGGAATGACCTTTAGAGGCGCTCCTCCACTGACCTGCTTCCTCCAAATAGGCCTTCCCTTCTCAGGTTTCCACAGCCTCTCAAAATAGTACTGGTAGGTGGGAAGCAAGTCTTCAACACAGGAGTCTGTGGGGGACATTTCAGATCCAAACCACAACAACTTACGTAAGTCTCTGAAGTTTCAGACAAACCACTGAAAACAGGTTCAAAACTGGACCAAAGTGCTAGAGATTCTTTTTTTTTTTCTTTTGGTTTTTTGAGACAGGGTATTTTTTTCTGTAGCCTTTCCTGGAACTAGCTATTCTAGACTAGGCTGGCCTCAAACTCACAGAGATCCACCTGCTTCTGCCTCCCAAGTGCTGGGATTAAAGGTGTGCGCCACCACTGCCTGGTGAGAGATTTTATCTTGATGACCAAAAAAAAAAAAAAGGAAAGTATCTATTTCCTGCAACTATGAGGATGTGATTATTAAAGCAGCAACTAGAGTTAAGATGTAAGAAGTAGTTAATGGACCAATCAGTTTATAACTAATGTAGATCTCTGTGTATTTCTTTGGGACTGAACAGCTGCAGGACCAGGGGGCAGAAACCCCTGTCAACCAAATGGGGTGCCAATGTGGGACTGAATAAATCTACTTAAAAAACCTGAGAGAGTTTGGGAAATTAGACAGAAAAGAATAGAATTAAGCATGGCTTCTTGGTAGCAGCAATTTCTTGGGTTTGCTCTGTTTGCTAGAGGCAAATGCATATCATTTGAGAGGTTTCCTGACTCAGCTTTAGCTGCAGAAACTTTGCAGCCCTTTTAAGAGGCTCTGCCACAAAACAAATGAATAGCCTACAGGATGCTTCTTGGTGGTGGCAGGGACCTTTGAATGCCATAGAGTTGTGGCAATAAACGTGGCTCCAGCCAGTACCTCCGCCATGAGGCTGGAATCTCAGAAAGCTAAGGAATGGACTAGATCCAGCCATCAAAGCCATAGCTTTAATCCTAGCAAATTGTTGCTTAGCAAATTAAAGACTCTTGTGGTCAGAAAAAGAGAGATACAGTAAAGATAGTTTCAGATGAAAAAAGCCTCTAAATAGTTTACAGTGTGTTTAAAAATATATGTAGGTTTTGGAGAGAAAAGAAAAAGGGTAGATTTCTCAAAAGAAAAAAGAAAAAAAGAGTAGTTGAGTGTGGTGGTGCACACCTTTAATCCCAGCACTTGGAAGGTGGAGGCAGGCAGATCTCTGTGGGTTCAAGGACAACCTGGTCTACAGAGTGAATTTCAGGATAGACGAAGATACACAGAGAAATCCTGACTCAAAAAGCCAAAAATTAAAAGTAAAAATAAAAGAAATAGAATTTAAAGTAAAGCCACGTGAGGATGGAAAACACACAGAGAGTCTGGATACTGTATGTTATTGTGTTGTCTCTGATTGCTTGACAGCTGAGGAAGGAGCAATGACTGCTAAAAGACATTTGAATATATATGCTGCTGGATTAATAAAACATAAATATTTTATAAATGCCTTGACTTCAAAATTGAAGTCAAAAGATATGTTACTTTGGAGAAGAGGTTTTGCTTTTGTTTCCATAGGAAATAAAAGGCTATGGATTCATTCTGGTCTAAGAAAAATAAGGTTTGATCAAGGAAGACCCCCCCCCCAGAGAAATTCCTGATAGGAGCAGACGGCCCAGATGTCTGAGTTCTATATCCAGAACAGCCTCAAGACTGCTGGCTGAGATGATCAAGCCTCACAGAATACTCTGATTAGGACTTCACCGTAATTTTAAATTTCCTTCAGGTCCCCATAAGATTATCAGTGCCCCCAATCAGCAGGAAGTAACCAGGAAAACTACGCCCACATTCCTCCAAAAATGGACTATGGATATTTTTCTTTGTTTAGAGTGTTGGTTACAATTTGTATGGATAATGGTCAGAAAGAAAGCTAAACAAGGGAAATTGGATTCAGGGTTCTTGTTTTGAAAAAAAAAAAAAGGGGTGGGTGAGTGCTGTGGGACAATGGTCGGTGCCCTGTCAATTATATTTTAATAGAATGCTGATTGGCCAGTAGCCAGGCAGGAAGTATAGGCAGTGTGACCG